TCAATGAAAAACGACGCCGTCAAAAGAACGCAAGACCAATGCCTGGAAAGAAAATGCAAACCCTAGCGGGTCAGGCATTGGTGGGTGGGAGGAGCTAAGGTGAATTGCATACGTAAATACATTAGTTTAAATCTAAATTATTGAAAGTTTTGAATCCAAATTAAATGTTAAATAATCAAAGATATCACGCACTGAAATAAAAGGTATCCTAAACATCTATTGAGACATTAATAGAGAAATTAGCTTTCGTTGTAAAAAATTGGTACAAGGTAGAAAAAATTACAAGAAATAACAGGGTAGATTAGATCAAGGGAAGGGTGCCATTACTCTGAAGCGCTGGCGATTTCACTCATAATTTCAAAAAACATAAGCATTTTATCTGTTGCATCAGTGAGCGTCCTAAGCTTGGGTAGGTATTTCTTGATTATATTATCCATACTAAAAATCTGAACTGCAGGCATAGCGGAGTTAGTGGACACATGGAATTGGCTTCGTTAGCTCAGATAAATCCGAGTGGGAACCGTTGACAGGGGATATACTAGAAGTTGGCAAAAATCATTTCTTCTTTTTCCTCTACAATGTAAAGGGCCGTTCTCACTGCTGTTTATTTGAGCTAACGGAGACAAATAACGTAGCCTACCCATTTCCAAAACCAGTTTTTCCCATAGGGCAGCTGCTGAGACTCTCTTATTAATAGAACTGCTCAAAGGGGAAGATAAACACTTCTCGCAGCTTTGAGAAAAATCTCTGCGAAGGCGTCGGAGACACATTTTCCAGAAATTTCAAGAATGACGACATTTTCGTGGGAAATCGCCAAATATAGCTAACTTGGAGATTACTGAATACTGATAAGAGAGTTTCTACTTATATCTGTGGTTCTACATGAGCTGTCCTTATAATTTAAACATCATTCGAAACAGAATTAAAATACCTATATTATAACGGGCCCACCATCGGCCGAGCGTAAGTCGCTGAACACTGGTAGTTCGGTCTGAGGTTCAAATCCCGCGAACGGGCTGGCAGCATGGGTGTTTTCGTGGTTTTCCCCATTTGTGATGTGTATACGAGCCAGTTTCCCTTAGAAAGTCCTCCACGAAGGCATTCCTCCCCTTAGGCAGATAGCCCCTCGAGGCTTTGCCGTAATTAATAACCTAACCTAACCTAACCTATATTATAACGTATAAAATCGGTTCATTAAACACACAAAGTGTTCAAAAATTCTATTAAACAAAAATACAAAATAAGTAACCGTTAAATTATTGCGCAAAGTCTACTAAATAAATAAATATAAACAGTAAAAAATACCAGTGCATGTAAATATTCACAAATATTTACATAACTTATATAATCAGAGAAAAAGGGTTATAAAAAAGTGATTGAAAAGCATCTTTTAGATAATCTAATCCATCTTATTCCCTTTCGGTATCTTTCTGCAATAAACTGAAAAGTACCAACTATTTGAAAAAGCAGCTTTGAAGTTTACATAAAATATGCATTTACAGTCTGATGTCACTGTGAAAAACACTTACACTTGCCAATATTCCCAAAGCAGAAAGATTTCGTACGTAGGGTGTTCCAAAATCTTACTGAAAAATAAGTCATGTGAACAACACATATAAAGCGCGATTAAAATCAGCGCCGAGTCTTGATACTCATGCCTCATTTCCGGTTTGAGCGTAAATCTGTATCTGTTCTCGTGATAACGTATACGAACAAATATATACTGCTAGTATAACTAGTATTAAACTATTGATATTGTATTAATATAAACTAAAACTAAACTCAGTGGCGCAACAGCTTTAGTGGGCGAGCAGCCCTGGTGGGCCAAGGCCAGCACTGCCCCGCAATCTGCTTTCTTGACAGTGGGCCTTCTTGACCGGGGACCGTGCGTAAGCATATGCCCTGAACAAGTGGTCAGCTTGTGTCAGGACCCCCAGTGTTTAGTCGCCAAATGAACTTGGTACTCATTTTATCCACCAAAAGGATGGAAATCAAGGGATGAAAGGTTGAGTCAACCTTGCTCAGCCAGGGGATCGAACCCCGGACCTGTGGTGCTCTGCGCGATGCGCTAGCCACTGCGCCACCTAATCTCTTTATATCAATATACATTTTACAAATATTACTCTCTGGTCTACTAATTTGTTGTACTTGTATTTTTGTATTGCCTGCATTACACATATTGCAGATTTTCTACATATTTCTGCCCTTTTATTCTGGTTCTTGTATCCTTTTTTTTATATACGGCACTAATTTTGTGTTAGTCTTATATTTGTTGATACTCTTGTACGTCTGCCTTTCAAATTGTTGATATTTTTGCCGTCTCTGCATAGTAACGTTACTTTCTTAGGTTATGTAGTCGGCAAAAATATATAATTCACTGCTCGCTAATTTGCACAAACGTACACTTTCATGTATCAAAATTCTGACTGTGAATTTCCCTCCGATCCCCACCTAGAAAAGGGAAGAAAACAGGTGTTCTGTAACCAGTGTTTGAATTCATTGACAGATTTTCGACACACAGATTTATGGTAAAGAAATTATGGTATAATTTATGTAACGTTCTTTTTGCTTTGCTATATCTTTTACTCATCTTGGAGAAGTGTCAACTACTATATTACTTTAAAGACTTTGTAAGATTCTCACTGGTGTATTTCTCAGTTAGTGTAGAAAGTGATGACTCTTAAGAACTAGTTAGTTAATAATCGGTTAAGTTCGTACAACAAGAAACAGCAAGGTGGAAGTGTAACTAACCCTTTATTATTCCAATAAGATTTAACGAAACTCGGTCTTGGAGTGTACAATCACAGCGGACACTTGGATGAACTTAAAGACACGTTTAAACTAAAAAAGATGAACTAAGACATATCCGAAGCTATCAAGACTTCTAATCGATTGCCTCTTAACGTTATTGACTACTAAGCGTATCCTTAGCCTTGAGTACGGGCTGTTTAAAAAGCTTTTTCTGAGAGAGAAAGAGCCAAAAGGCGATACGGTAATCAGAACTCTTCTCTTAACTCTGTAAGTAGACTTTCCTACTGCTCCTCCTCATTAAGTATTCAGAAAGATTCCAAAACTAAGTTCTGGCCGGAAGTAGTAAGTTTAAGTTAAGAATTTGACAGGAAAGAAGCTTAAAATTGAACTGTTAATAAAATTAAAATAATCCTTACAACTTTATAGTACCACATTATTAACACAATAGCAGTAATTATACCTCTGGAGTGAAATATTAAAAGAGGAGGGTATTTGATACTTCACTTTCATATGCTTTGTTTGGATTGAAAAACATGTAGAAATTCAGAAACATAAATTTTAATTAGTGAATGGTTTCTTATTTGCATTTGTATCATTACATTCATCATTCTTACCCACATTATTCGTATTTGCTTGAAACAAAAGACGTTGTACTAGAGAAAAATATTAATTTACGGGACCACAAGCAGATATGTTGTCTAAGCCATTTCATTTTAAAATGAAATACAAATTAGTCGTTAAAAATATGTCTTTCATAGGTGAAGCCACATTTTTTTCAAATCATATTTGTGTAAAAGGTATCCGCAAAATGCTCGAGTTAGTGCAGTGCTCTGTGTTCTAACAAAACTGGTAAAATATTTTCATGCAACAAAATGACGTCATAATTTTTTTCTCTTTAATATCTCTTTAATATTCGAAAAATAGCAAACAAATTCCATGTTACTATGGCAGCACTTATTACCTCCAAACATTATAACATCGATTATGGAAGTTTTGTACGTTAATAATTAAAAACACTAATGCAGTTATGAAATAATAAAAAGAGCGATATGGAAAAGATCTTCTGAAGAAGTTTTTTCCAAGTTATAAACCAAATAATAGAGTTCAGTCACTGTGAACACTGACTGAATAGATATTAATATTAAGGAAATATTATTGATTCAAGTAATATTATGAAACTGTAGCAAAAAACTGAAAAATTTTCATTAAATATAAAAACAAATAAAATATGTCACAACAGCCATATTATGAAAGTAAATTTCTCTTCGATTTATATAAATTTGAAATATTGGCAAACGATACCAGTTCAAACATAAAAAGAAGTAATATATTTTGTTATAGACGTATTAATAAAAAAAATAGAATTAATAATGTATTATAATAGATAACAAATTTACCTTGTATAAATTTTCTAGATTTCTAACATCATTCAAAGATTTATGAAGATTTCTAAACGTTGTATATTTCTAAAATTGAGAAACGTTTCCGACAAACATAAAGAAAAATATTTTTAAGTATTTTACTTCATGGAAACTGAATTTATTTTCGTTGGTTTATGTAATTACAAAAACATATATGTTTTCGTTTAAAATATAAAAGCAATGAAATATTATCTATATATATATGACTGATTTTGTGTTACTAAATGTAGAAAATAAATTACATTTTAATTCCCGAAAAATTATTTCAAAATTTTAATTTAAAGCGGGCAATATTAATTCTCTTGGAAAACCTTCAAATGTATTTTCTAAGAAGAGTAATTTTTTAAAATGCGGAATAGATTTAGAGCAATCAATGTACGTTTAAGTGAATGAACTATCAGAACCAACCTGGACCCTTAGAAAGGAATTTTTTTTAATATTTTCAAACAGACTATCGTTCTTTATCACTTCAACAAACTGAAATTTGTCGGAAGAATATTATCTGGAAATAGATTGTTATGATAGTTTACTATAATGTACGGAAATTTGCCGAAAATATCATCAATAGCTGTTCTCAAATTACTTAAAAGACTCTTCTTTATTTCATAAATATTTATGCTAGGAAACAGAAAAATGTTAAGTTAAAACTTGAACTAGCGCATTTTCTCCGTTGTGTTTCTTTTGTGTTTGAATCTCTGAAACAAGAAAAATCGATGTCTATTGGCTGCTCCTTTTAATCGGACGAGCGAGTTCTCGTCGCCTCTTCATGCGTATCTCTATTCTGCGCATCTTTGCTATTCATTCTCCTCGTGGCATTCGCCGGCCGCACAACTAATCGCTCAGTTCAACAAGTCACGATGAACAGCAAATCGCGAGTTTTAGAATCGCTGCTGGGCCGGCGGATTCGGCATGCAGCTTCGCGTTTGGTGTTTCAAACCCACTCCGAGGACGAACCTCAAGATAAAAACTCGGCCTGGTCTCTCTGCATGCGTTCTCATAATTCTATTGACCACTGTAAAACATTCCTTCAGAATTCTTCTGAGTTAGAAATTCAGTTATTAGAAGTCCAAAAAGAGCTTGTAGCACTTCAAGAAACAAACTTTACAACAGTTACCCCTTCGACAGTCGACGTTACAGCTACAAGAAATGAAATCGTAGACTTATACAGAATTGTCGTCCCAATCCTTCTTACAGCTTGTCTTTTATCTTTTATTTTCAATCTGTTGATCGTTTATAGTGTGAGATGGGTAAGAAGAAAACTATCTCCAACTATATGCTTAAGCTTGTCACTTGCATTAGCTGATGCTTATGCCTCTCTTGTCATTGGACTCGGCCTTATTATCAACAGCTTGCTTCCAATTGTTTACGGAGTTGATCTGGGACCATTCAGTCTTTGTTTTATTCTTTCCTTGGAAGCATTTAGGCTAGGGGGACTTGTTGTGGCTGTTCTTCATCTTCTGGTGCTGGCTATGAATCATTACATAGGAATACTTCGACCCTTACATTATGCCCACATAGTAACTAGAGAGACTACTATGTTAGCTATAGTAATAACATGGGTGTTTCCGGTCGTATTTTTCCTTGTGTATTTTTCTTCAGTGCCCAATGACGGGTTCCAGTCAGAATATTGTGCTAGCTACAACTTCTTACTCTACTCCCCTTTCAGAGTAACTACATCTGTGATGTTTTTCTGCCCGTTGCTACTGATGTCCATCATGTACTGTCATATGTTCTTCGTTGTACGTCAGCATCAACAAGGTCTGCTGCAATGCCCATCTAGCAGGAGCCTGCACAAGAACGTCAAGGCCATCATCACTACGCTTCTCATCCTGGGAACATATATTCTGGGGTGGATGCCTGCGGTACTATTCTTTGTACTAACATGCTTAAACTGTGCCGTACCCTTTATTCAAATTCCTTTATCTGTTCGCGTACCAGTTGGAATCTTCATCAACTCAATGATTGTAGCGAAATCGTTTGTAGATCCCATTATCTACGTGGTTCGGATGCCTGAAATTAAATGTGCTATGAAGAATATCTGGAATACAAGGTGTGGTCGTCTTACAGAGTACGCTACTCCATCGCATTCGAGAACTGATACTAGGAGACTGACATTTCTTACATCGCGCAGAAAATCGAGAATGAAGGGCAAAAATGATTGCATAAATGGGAACGCTGTACACGTGAGTGAACATTAAGTCAGCACATAGTTCAATAGTTCGGAGCTATTTTAATTTTCTAATACTAATCTGTAACTTTTAATGATAAATGCATAACTGTTGATACATAAATAATGAGTGATAAATTCTGTGTCATATGAAGCGGTAAGTCTTCAGATATTTGAAGAAGTTTGCAATTTTGTTTGAAAATTAGTATATTATCCCTTAGCAATGAGAAATTTTATTGGGAACGGATAAAGATTTTATTTGCATTAATGCATCTTTTAAATAAATTATGTTATTAAATAATCATGCATAAATAGTATTTTATGAATTGATAAAACTTTACAAGCGTGCAGGAAACGTGATTAGAATTTTATAAACATAAATATTCATGTAGGGAAATGTTTATGTATTTTAATTTGTACTTTGTAAAATATATACGAGATTATTTTCCTGAAAAGGAACCCAATTTTAAAATGCTAAAAATTTAATTTGATGGATTTTAGGGCTTATTTCTTAGGAAATAAACGAATGTAAATTTTTCTTCGCAAATTCTTTCATTACCATCAGAATGTTCCAGAAGTTTAAAATGTTTCCAAAGGTGCTCAACATGGTGCTTCGTTTAAAAAAACATTATTCCAACTGGAAACATAAAACTTCTTCGCTTAAAAGTAAATCACAAGGGACTCTATGTACTGTTATTTTCTTTATATGACTGCAGCATATTTTCAGAAAATATAAAATTCCCATTAAAACCAATAATTATCTTATATGTGAATTTTCATTGTTCGTGAGATTTCGATATTGTTGTGTATATCGCATATACAAATTTATGAATATTATATCATGTAAGTAATTTATGTATGTTTGTATTTATGTTTACTTGAATATACCTCAATTTCATGAATAATATATTAATGTTAGGTGTCTTATTAAATGTATAATCTAAGAGTAGTTGGTTTTATTACGCAATATGCATCGACTATGTTTTTATTTTCGTTACGAAAGTAAGTAGACATTAATCAAATATACTCTGCTACGGTAGCTACATTTTAAATTAATTCCTAATCCTATTATATAAATTACCGTAATATGGTATAATTAATAAGCAATATTGTTTGACTTCTGGTTTTATGTAACAAACGGTAACAGTGACGGGTTGGATTAAAAGATAAGAAAGGTATTATTAAGAATAATATCTTTTACTATTTATTTAGAAAATAAGTTTAGGCCTGAACACGTAAACTGTAAAAATAAATCTCGTTATATTGCCTAGTTTCTGCTGAAAGATAAAGTAAGTAGTAATAGTATTAAGAAAATTGGGAAAAAATTTTTAAAATATTAATAATTTGAGAAACATTCATCTGCATTTTGAATAAAAAGAGTTACGCAAACCTCGTTATGAATTCTGTTTTTAAACTATAATATCTGTATAATTTTTGCTGTTGTTTTTTCTCGTTTCTAAAGATGAACTACTTCTAACCAGTTATTTCCAAACGTTATGATAAAATCTTATGTGCTTTGTTTTGAGGACGAGGTCCCGGCTAATATAGCCAAATCGATGTTTAGTCGTAATATCATATTGAGGCCAACGCGGGTAGGGAATCCAGGAAGCCAGCTATATTCCCTATCTGTATCACATAAATATATCCCCAGTTTAATTAATTATAATGTATTCCCAGTTTTTTTAAGCTAATGATTTAAAACCTCAGGAAAACCAGGGCGCAGAAGTCGAGAAACACAAAGGAGTAAAAAGAAGAAAAAAATAAGGTTTGTAAGAACTTTTGTATGTTTATGGTATGTGTCAGGATTTAACAGTTAAAATGTTTTATAAATAAACTCTTGATAAATTTGGTATAATTGTAACTGAATTTTTTTGGATAAAGTTGATTCTTTTGTTAAACGTGTAATTTGAGAAAGAATGCAACTTACGTATTTAGTATTAGTCTTTTCGAAAGCACTATTTCTGATCTTCTGTATTATGTTAACATTCTTCAACTTTATATTTTGAAAGATGTTATATATACCGAAATGAAAGATTAGAATATCCTGATTTACAGCAACTAACATAAATTAGTTTTCTAAACTAAAATTAGCTTATCTTTCTTAAACGTATAGTATCTTGTCAACTTTCTGTTCTGTGTTAGTTCAATTTTGTACTGTAAATTAAAATAGATTAGATTTAAAGATAATTTATACAATAAATATAATATAAAGATATATTAGTATAATATAAAGATATATTTATTGTCTAAATCAGCTAGTCTTCTAAGAACAGTTATCCAGCGGGGTTTCAAGTAGGCATGAACAATTTTCAATTACATTCCTAGAATATATTTGGCGTATCTGAGATAATTTGAAAGGTTCGCCGATAGGTAATATATTTTATAAATAACAAAAATATTAATAAAAGATTAAGTAGTTCATGAAAATGTAACCTACATACGACATTAAGCCATTCCATTATTTACAAAGCCAAAATATATACTTATATCCTACAAAAATGTTTTTTAACTTTTAAAGTATAATATTTACAGGGTAATATAGTGTCTGTAACGTTTCATATCACGTACGTCACTTTTAACATAGGGCATGTTAAATTAAGGCATTGGTAAATGTAGCACTGCACTATTAGAAGTATTTTCTCAAACTTGTGATTTTTAATAATTTATTTTATTGACATATTTTATCATATTGTTGTATATGTACAGCGTTTAATACATGTTGTATACAAACTGTACCTATTCTATTATTTATGTTACTGATTTATGTTATTTATGTTGATTACGAGCTTTTGTGGAGTCAAAGATTATATGCTAATCTTTCAATTCGCCTTGTCAAAGGTCAAGTTGTACTATTACCAATTACATTCCACCCTCAGAGCTCGAATCTTGGTGAACGGATGGGCATTTTCGAGACTTTTCCTGTGTACAGCGTATACACGAGCCAGTTTGTAAGTTCCCCACGAATGCATCCTTCCACTTGGACAGATAGCCTTCGCGTGATTTGCCGAACTCATAAATCAAACCAACCCAAACATGCCATCCTCAATTCACGATGACGTACTTTGCAATGATTAATTTTTATATCGGCCAACTACTCGTAGATTAAAAGGAAGAAGATAATATGTTTCAGAATTGAACACAAGGAAACCAAAAAATTAATTTAGCACAAAAGCAGCTCTAAATTGTGACTGAAAATGACTATAGAGGGTGCTTACACATTTTTATAACGATTACAAAGCCATTTAAATAATATTTAAAATTTCAAGAGAATTTTTATTAAATATTCGATCTAATAGTTTTTTCTTTGTGATTTCCTTGATAAAAAAGCTTTTCTTGAAATTTCCAGAGATACCGATTTCATTCCTCTTACAATATTATACGGTGTCCATCAACCACGGTCGATTTGCTCTTAAAAATGAGAACTTTTCCAGACACCAGAGGCACAGCAATCCATAGCTGAAATGAGAGTAAACTTCACAGGATTGCCTTGAAAAGGTATGTATGCAATACCTGTACCATCACGTTTTCAAGGAATGAAGTGGTGCTTTTCTATATATGATGTGTAGCTTTGTCTCAACTAAGTTTCACTTTTTAAAATCATTATGATAAAGAAATGGAATTTCTTCTGTAAATGTCGGATATAAAACTTTTTCTTGTAGCATGCTGAGTTGGTTTTAAAATTTTCTCGACTAGCATAAGGATTGCAATATATTGCTTGTGAGTGACTGAGTGCACCGCTATCTATGCTGGCTTTCGACCACAGACATGAACCAAACGGAATTATATACCATCACGGTGGGAAAATCTCCAAAGTAACAAATTTGAATATTATATACTAATAACAGTTTCTATAGTTTGATACCTGTAGGCAAAACACGTTATTCTGTTTATCTGCTTTAAATTCTGATCATTTGAAAAATAATATTATTCACGGTTGTTTCTGCTTACGCAGTGTCTTGAGGTTTTCTCTATTTTACCAAGGGCTACTCTGTTTTTGAGCGTGTTAAACGTCAGCATTGCTGAGGCCCAGTTCGCTGGTTTCTTTAAATGTTAGGTTCTTGTATGTACACAATTAAAGTAATAATGGTCCGCGTCGCCTTCCTCTCCACATTCGCAGATAGGACTATACTTCCTAAGTCTGAATCTGTTGAGATATACTGAGAATGGTCCATAACCTATCAAGAACTGTGTTAGGCTGCCACAGTGGGTCTTTATTTCCATATTAACTTTTGACAATAAGCGATTCCTTCATTTCCTCCTCTCATTTCCATCACTTGCCAATTTTTTAGCAGACTTGTCAAAGTTGTTCGCTGAATGGTGAGACCAATGTTATTGGTCTTCTAATTATCCGGCAGTTAACTGCTGCTTGGCATAGGTCACGGCTGTCATTGCCTTGAAGGGCCTGTATGAGAGGGAACCTTTTAAGTGTGGGTTGGGGGAGAGAGGTATTGCCGAAGCTGTTCTGAATTCGGTATACCAAAGGACTCCGGCGTTTGACTGTCATAGCGCGAGACGTGTGCGATCGCTGAGTACGGAGAATTTATTGTTGACATATGTTCCAACCTATTGAATACGCAATAAATCTAGATTTCTTTTCCACTTGATGTTACACCCATTTCATTCTACAGATGCGCTGCCCGTAACCGTTCTCGTTCGGAGCATTTGTAAAAAGGTTTTATGGTGCTTTGATTGGTTGTAGTTTTCGATGATACCTTGAGATATAAAGCACGGATAAATTATTGCAGATGCTTTGCTCCTCGAATCCAGTGGGGGTAACTTGACACCATAGCGTTGAATTTTGACGCGTAAAACCCTATGATAGCGCCTCCCTTTCAACATCATCTAGAGAGGAATTCTCCATTTGTTGTGAGGCGAGTGTTGACTTGTACGTGCCCGCATCTGGAAGTAGCGGCTGTCTCTGAATGAAGCAGATCCTCTCCTGTGTGATGTAAGTTCACCCCCATAGTTCCGCTCGTAAGTATGACTCTTTATATGGCTATGACAACTTTTTTTAGAGCTAATGAGATACCCCATTTATGTGAAATCATGCGTCTCATGTTGTTCCTTAGGATGCTGATACGAGTCTTAACATTCTTCACATGTGGCATCCAGGAAAGTCTGTTGTCGAGTATTATATGTCGAGTATCTCGAATAGCTGTCGTCTTCAGCGTTCACTCTGAAACATTTTTTCCAATATTTATTTCTGTAAGTGTGAATCTTTTTGTTCATTTCTGTGATGAGTGTTCTTTTTGTTTGAGTTTTAATCTTTTTGTTTAGTCTGTTGATACTAATTTTGGTCCATGGGTCTTGCGTGACCTTCCAGGTTTTCTTAGCCGGTTCCTTTCCTAGATATTATGCCTGATGCGTCTGGGAAGGCTTTCCTGATAATTAGTTTTGCGGGTGGTCGTAGCTATGGCGCGTTCTTAAAATGTTCCTATAGAGCATCCAATCTATATGCTTTCTGATGCTGGTGCATTCGGACATTGTAATTTTAAATCCTTGCTACGGCAGAAAAATGGTCAGTCTTTAAATCTTCATTAACTTCAACGTTTTGGTAATATTGGTGTTTGATAAAGAGATCCAGGATGTTAGGAAGTCTAGAAACGTTGACGGCCGAAACGTGTAAATATCCCACCACAAAAGGAGAGTAGAGACTATAAGGGTGATTGCTGAGAAAGTGATGGAGCTGCTATCCATTACGATTCTATTGGTTGCCTTCAAGACTTTTTTATATTTGATAATTTTCGCTTAACTAGATTTGCTCTCCAAATCATGGAAGAGGAAGAACACTAACAATAACTTGCTTGAAGTTATCAATGAATTCATAATGCAGAGGGTGAGGCAAGGGAACCAGTGAAATCATGCAGCAGCGGCAAAGTGCAAACAGCACAAA